TATATGTTTGCTTTTATTTTTAAATTTTCATTTGAACACGCGTTACATGTTATGTTTATGTATTTTAGCTTTAGATAATAGGTTTTTTAAAACATTTATTTTAAAATTTAAGTTTATATTTTTTATTAACATTATGTTTAATATTTTTTTTATTTTTTTACATTTTTAAAAAAAATTGGCATCTTTTTTTGGATTTTCTAACTTTTTTAGTTTTTAGCTTTTTTTTTTTTGTAATTTTGCGCCTTACTTAAAAAGGCACGCGCCTCGCCTTGTGCCTTTTTTGCGCCTTGCGCTTTTAAAACACTGATTCAGATCGGACTGAAGTACTCTCTCTCCCTTTCTCCTTTTTTATTTTTTCTGGTCGTGTGCCAGAACAGAACCTGTAATAGGTTCAATTAGTTAATGTGAGGTGAGCAGCACCCTCTTCTTTCCTTTTTTGTGGGATCGAGTGATCCCTGAAACAGACTATAGGTCGGTGATGACCTTTATATGCTATGACAACAGCCTTCTGATGAATTTGTAGGTCAGGGGATGACCTATATATGCTGCGACAGCAGCCACACTTGATTTGTAGGTTAAGAGAGAACCTGTACATGCTGCGACAGCAGCCATACCTGGTTTATGGTAGGCCAATGATGACCTGTGAGTTCTGTAACAGCAGCTGATTTTGTTTGAAGAACTGAGATTTAAAAGGGGGGAAAGGAGGGGAGTGGTTGTCTCTAATTCCCTGGTGCAAAGAGTTTATTGGAGTGTTTGACTAGTTCTTTTTGGGTTTTTTGTGTTCACTTGGAGTGTAACCTGAAGTTGTGATTATGAGTGGTGAAGACTCTGCCACATCTGGAGTCTCCTCAATGCAGAACAGAGTAAGTGGGGGTATAGATTTATCCTTCCCTATGGCTGTTATACCCCTAGATGGCTCGAATTATTTAGAATGGTTGAGGGGGATTAAGTTATACATTACTACAAGGAGAAAGATAGGGTATATAAATGGGAGAAGTAAAGAACCGAATTCCGGGAGTGCTGAGTATGACAGATGGAACCAGGAAAACAGCATGGTTATGTCCTGGCTTTTGGTGTCTATGCAACCTTAGGTGAGAAGGAACTTTATGTGGGCTGAAATTGCTTGAGATTTGGGAGCAAGCAAAATCGACCTATTCTAAACTGCGTCACTATGTAAAAGTCTATCAGTTACAGGCAGAATCATCCACTTGTAAACAGGGGGAGAGGAGCCTTTCCGTGTACTATTCAGATTTGACCTCCATCTGGAAGGAGTTAGATCACTATCAGAGTGTAGACTGGAAGTGTGATGAAGATGCAAAAGCATACAAGAAGCTTGTTTCCCAATAAAGAGTGTTTGCATTTCTCAATGGCTTGAATCCAGTATATGAATCCATCGGAGTTCAGATCCTAGGCAACAAGGATCTTCCATCTGTCTAGGAGGTTTATGCATTAGTATAGTCGGAAGAAAGTAGAAGAAATTTAATGAACAGCTTCGAAGGGGATGCAGTTATGTTGGCTGCAAAAGGGAATGTTACTACAAGTGGGGGAAATTTTTTTAAGGGGGACCTTCAAAAAAGGGTGGAAGACAAAGACAAACTATGGTGCACCCATTGCCAGAAACCTCGACACACCTGTGAAACATGCTAGGATCTTCATGGGAAGTCAAAATGGGCCCAGGAATAAGCAAGAAGAAAGGTTCAGATCTGAATAAGAAGTCATGACAACAAGGTCCAAGAAAATTCACCACAGCAAATATGGCTTCTCAGGAGAATCAGCCCCCCACTACTACTATGACTCAGGCACACACTTCTGGTTCTGACCCAAGGGAGGATATTCTTAATTCCTTCCACGACCATTTAGAACTCTATGGTAGAGCAATTCGTCAGATGGATTTTTCTCCTCCAACTTCATTTGCGTCTACATCAGGTAACTTTGCCACAACATTCCATGTATCGTCTCATTCCCCTAACTCTCCTTGGATAATTGATTCTAGAGTGTCAAAACATATGACTGGTAAGTCCACTTATTTCCAGACCTACCACCTCCTCTCTAGAAGAGACAAGGTGAGACTAGCTGATGGTTCATATTCTACCATAGCTAGTCAAGGAACCATTTCTCTTCCCTTTGGCCTCACCCTGACTAATGTCTTGCATGTTCCAAAATTCCCTATTAATTTGTTCTCTGTTAGTAGTATCACTAATTCTTTAAACTGCTCAGTAACTTTTTTCCCTTCTTATTGTGTACTTCAGGATTTGGCCTCGGGGAAGACGATTGGTAGAGGACGTATGGTAGATGGACTCTACATGTTGGAGAATAAGGCTAGTCTTACAGTCTAAGAGTCTAAAAGTCAGTCTAGTACGAGTCAAGTCTATTTATAGCACAATCGTCTTGGTCATTTGTCTTTTGAGTCTTTAAAATTGATGTTTCTAGAGTTAAATTTAAGTCAGTGTTAATGTCACAGTTCACATGTCAAACTTGTCAATTGAGTAAGCATTGTAGAGATCAGTCTTCTTCAAAAAATAATAAATCTGAATTTTTTGTCCATATTATTCATTCTGATGTTTGGGGCCCTATTACTTTACCGTCCGAGTGGCTACAAATATTTTATTACCTTTATTGATGATTACTCCAAATACACTTGGATATATCCCATGCGAACCAGGGATGAAGTACCAAAAATTATCCAAGATTTCCACCAAATGATCTTCACTCAATTTCAAACTGAGATCCAAATTTTCCAATCCGATAATGCCAAAGAATATTTTCATAATGATCTCACGGAATTCTTCGCTTCGCATGAATCACTTCACCGTAGCTCATGTGCCCGAACACCACAACAAAATGGTGTTGCTGAAAGAAAGAACCGACACCTTGAAGTGGCCAGGGGTTTACTCATTCATATGAATGTCCCGAAACGTTTTTGGCTTGAGGCTGTCCTTTGTGCTACCTATCTCATTAATTGTATGCCCTCTCGTTGGTTAGAGTGCAAACCCCACATCAACTTCTTTTTCCTAAGGTTCATCTTGTTTTTATTCCTCATTGTGTGTTTGGTTGTCGTTGCTTTGTTCAAAATTCGGCGCCCACCCATGGAAAATTGGATCCTCGTGCTATTCCTTGCATCTTTTTGGGGTGCTCCCTCACTCAAAAGGGGTTATCGATGCTTTGATCTTGTCTCTCAGAGATATTATGTTTCTATGGATGTCTCTTTGTTTGAGAGTGAGCCTTTCTTCCTTGTTTCTCCTCAAGGGGGGTGTAGAAATGAGGAGAAACTGATTCAGCTACCTCATCTTCTTGATCCTCCTCCCTTTCGTGTTTTCTTTTGATGTCACAAAGGCCAGCCAAGTTCAAGAGCTGTGGAGCATCCAGAAGCTGTACCACCAATGCCATCAAACTCTCCGGGGTTGAATCCTTCCCAACCAGGTACCTTGGTTCCCATTGATGTTCCTGACCCTATTGCCATTGATACCTCTATTGCTGATCACCTTAAGCTTCCTATTGCTCACCGGAAAGGTGTTAGGTCTTGCACCACTAAACACCCCATGTCCCACTTTGTTTCCTGTGAAAACATTTCACCTTCCTTACAGGCCTTTCTCTCTTCCATTGACAGTGTTCTTATTCCTAAGAATGTGGTAGAAGCTCTTTGATACCTAAATGGACAGATGCTATGAAGGAAGAGATTAATGCTTTACATAAAAATGACACATGGGAACTTGTAGATCTTCCTGAGGGGAAGGAACCAATTGGGTGTAAATGGGTTTTCACAGTAAAACATAGGGTTGATGGCACAGTGGAGCAATATAAAGCTTGTTTACTAGCAAAGGGGTTTACACAAGTGCATGGAGTGGATTATGCAGAAACTTTTGCACCCGTTGCTAAGATGAACTCCATTAGAGTTCTTTTCTCCTTAGCTGCTAATCTTGACTGAGACCTTCATCAACTTGACATCAATAATGCATTCTTAAATGGTGACCTTGAAGAGGAAGTATACAATGGTGCAACCCCTTGGTTTCCGGGCTCAAGGTAATGAATAGAAAGTGTGCGGGTTAAAAAAAAATCATTATATGGCCTGAAACAATCACCGAGAGCCTGGTTCAGTAGTTATCACTGATAGTATATATTGATGATATAGTTATCACTGGTGATTGGAATGATGAAATTCAAAAGTTGAAGAGTTTCCTTGCTACCCAGTTTGAAGTGAAGGATCTAGGTCCTCTAAAGTACTTGGGATTGAAGTGGCCCGCTCACAAAAGGGTATCTTCATTTCCCAAAGAAAGTATGTCCTAGATCTACTCCAGGATACAGGAAAATTGGGAGTGAAGCCTGTTGATTCCCCTATTGATCCTAACCACAAATTTGGAGACTGTCAAGGTGAACCCATTGAAGATACGAAACAGTTTCAGAGACTTGTAGGAAGATTGCTATATCTTTCTATGACTCAACTAGACATTGCTTATGTTGTTGCACCCCAACTTTGCACTGAAGGGCAATTTGATGCCGCTCAAACCTTTGGTGAAAGCCTCATGTTTCCAACTTTACATCATTCTCTCATCTTGCTTATTAGACAGAATTGAATGGATTCGTATAAATGTTTTCTTCAGGGGATCAAACATTAATCTTCATCAAACCAATGATTAACTGCTTATAAATGAAATATGATTGTGGTAGTTCCTTTCCCTGCACATTTATAAATTTTCTGTTGGTGTCAAAGTGATGGTATATATGTCCTTGGGACATAAAGATGGCCATTGGCCATCATAGAATTTTTTTAGTAATTTATTGGCTATCAACCTTTTTTTTTACACTTTATAATTAGCAATTAAGCAACTATTGATGATTCATGGATTCCTACGAAGATTTTGTCCATGGTCCACACAAGGGGTGGGTCCCCAAGTAAATGAATCCCAGCCAGAAAGTAAAGAAACATGTTTCTGTGTTCTTGCTTTCTTGTTTCTCTATAATTGCCTTAATCCTAATCAGAGAACTTGCTTTCTTGTTTGTAGTTGAGCATTGGGAGGCAGTGGAAGGAGTGTCTTGATTACAATGACACTATAGGCTTCATATTTCATGTAAGACTTATAATTTATGCATTTGGACATCCCTATTGCCTAATTCATCACAAGTTAATGGTCATTTGTATAATATCCTGCTCCACAACTCCAGGAAGATGCAAAGAAGTTTGATAGATTTGCCAAAAATCGCTATTCCATATGAACTGGCGTCCTTGTACACTGACAAAACCAAGTTGAAACAGAAGGGTATGTGTAATTGGTAGCCCATAAAGTTTGTAAGAAATTGAAATGTTTGCTTGCTAAAGATTGCTTTTGCCTCTGCAGGTTCTCCCATGGCTGCAGATCAGCAGAATCAGAGACCTTTATCATTCTTTTCTATTGGACTTTTGCTAGAAATCATTTCATTTGTAGTGAAAAAGATGATCAATAACCCCCGGGCATATTGTTCATTTGTTTGTTTGATATGGGGATTGACTTTGAAGTTTTGCCTCGTCAGCCATTTCACTTAAGTCGCTTGTTACAGTTGGCTTTTTTCCAAAATGAAATTATTTCTTCTAAGTATCAAATCCATGAATTAGCAATATCTTTCCTCTTCTCCAAGTCCAAATTTAGCTTCTCTTCCAAAATTGATAGAAAGAGAAGGCGGTTCATTAACCAATAACACACGCTTACTAGACATCAATACTCAGCACCGTGGCGCCACTGAAAAACAGTACCTCAAATGCTCATCGTTATTTTTTTTTTTTTTATCAATAACACAATTCATTAATAGCTTCGTTATTATTATAAATGTTTAATAGCTTCGCAACAGTCAACAGCTTCTTGGACAAAGATCTGCACAAATCACTGGAATGAAGTGATGGCAGTTTGTAATTATACAAACAACACAACTAGACTGGAAGAATTATCTTTCTTTTTCGGGTAAGTAGATGAGAGGGCCCCAAGGCTCCTTCCTCTTTTTCGGGTAGGTTGCGAAAGCAGTTTTCCATTATCGTGTTCGTTTTCTTTTGGTCGGAGAGAGGTTTTGAAAGAAAACCCAGGAATATAGTTGAAAAAAAAGGCGGAGTTCCCCTTTGCACACACCCCCTCCCCCCAAATAAAAAACAAATAAACAAATAAAAACAGAGGACCCACTGGAAGAGTCAGTATTCTCCCCTGCGGTCCTTGGCGGTTGATCATCTTAAGTCTTGGCAATTTGGCATTTAGAGAATTGATTCTATGTAGGTCCCACCCTAAAGTTGATTCGATCCGGGCAATTTGACATTGGTGACACGTGGAACAAATTATTTAGACCCTGTTTAATTTTACTTCGAATAAACACTTGTTTAACAATTACTTATTTTAAGTGTTGGAACCACGCATTAAATGATAAAATACTTGTGTTTGGTAAAAGTCGTCAAGAAGTATTTCTTTTGTGTTTTCCCCTCTCCTATTTAAACACAGCAGACGTAGCCACGTAAGGGGCGATGAATTCAGTTGCAGGTCCACCAGGGTAATCGACGGTGCAAAAAAACGGCCGACAAACCTGTCAGACTCTTTTTGTGCATATTTATTTTTCTATTTGAAGCACTTTGAAGGGTTATTTGAAGGCAGTATTCAAACCAAATACTGCATTTACGACGACTCCCTGTTTTCATAGGCATCGTATATTTGATACATTCGAATTTAAGCATCTTTCCTTTTTCATCCGAATCATGCTTGATCTAGACCTCAGTTGTCGATTTTGATACTTTTAACCTGAAAAGTGGAAACATCATTGACAAAATGTTGAGACCTCCGGTGTTACCAGCAACACCCCACCGTCCAGAAGTATCGACACGTATCAGCCCATATCGACTGATATGTATCGTTCCGGGATCTCTCCGATACACCCACTATATAGGGGTGTATCGAAGGTCTGACCGGTTCAGAGGGTAGAAAAGACCTAAAGCGGCTCCCCTAAACCAGTTGTGGAAACAAAAAAAAAAAAAAACCAAAAAACCAAAAAAATAACATCAAACATCCCCACCTCAATAAATGCTTAAAAAACAATAAATGATTTGACAAGTGGATCACAAAACAACCTTCAGTGATTTTTAAAATAAGCACTTACCTTATTTTAACAACCACTTGATCACCAAACATAACCTAAAACAGGGGATAAACTGAGAAAAAGTTTTACTCAAAGAGGTTCACGACTGAAAATGAAGACATCATAATAATAATTTGCCCTTTCATATAATTTATATATGAAGTTGTACTTACAGAAACTAAACTAACCATTACCAAATCCGTCAACCTATAACCAGCTACCCAAAAATCCTTGTCTCCTTTGTTTATCACACTCCCAAAAATGATTTATTTACACCCGATTGTCATGGATTGCAGAGGTAGAGGCAGGAAGAGGAGGAAAAAAAACGACAACAGATTATAGTCCCCCAAGGGTCAAGCAAGAAATGAGCTTACTATGAACCAATCTCCCCTTCTTCCACATCCCCGTTCAAGTTTGCCTCCTCTTCCTCTTCTTCCATAAAATCATCTTTCCTGAAGAGACCTAACCGTTCCAACGGATTGCCATGGTGACACCCCTCCAATGTTCCAAGTACATGACCAAAGTCATCAGCGAACTCATCCACATTTCCACATTTTGGTGCTTCAGTACCACGGGCATCTTTGGGTTGAGTATACCCACCAAACATTTCAAGATCCTTCAGAATGGCTTGATTCTCGTCAATTTCAACAGTCTTCTCCATCTAATTGAAGACAAACAGTAAGATAACACGAGGGACTTCAGTTTCTTTTTTAAACACTTCATTGAAGATAAAAATATTTAAGACCACAAGGACAACCTGCTGCAGTTTGATTCGAGCCGCCTCTCTTGCCCTCTCCCGCTGCATCTTTTGTTCAGCTTCTGCTCTCATACGTGATGCAGCTTCAGCAGCTCTGATTTGTGCCTCAATCCTAGCCTTTTCTGCTCACCAAAACAGAATATAGCCAAGTTTTAGAAAGGAAAACGACTTCAATACTTGAAAAATAACTTAGATATCTTCTTGGGTAACAGAAAGTGTAATGTCCTATGGTCATCATTCCAAATGTCTAAGGTCAAGAACCAATCACATGAATGACCTACTAATATACTTGAAAAACCATGCCTTCTAATGTAGTTAATTAAGGATAAAAGAGATTGAGAAACACAAGCGAATAACAACGCTATCATGTAATCATTGTTATTTTATTGGTGTACATGCATATGTAGCTTTTTTCTAACAGGCAATTAAATGCTATTGAAGAAAAGAATGATATATAAGCCACACAGAAAAACGTAACCAAATAACATGAAGGAATATCTGAAATACAATCAATCTTGAAACCCAAAAGCCTCACCCAGCCCAATGGCACTCCCCCTTCCAAGGATACAACAACAAAAGCCAAATACAATTATTTAATGAACTTACCATGGAAGATTACTCAAAATATGGCTCCAGACAAACACCCCCCCGCCCCCCCCCCAAAAAAAAAACAAGAGAAAGCACAACTGCACAACCTTGTCGTGACATCAAACTAGAAAAAGGACAAGACGTGGCAAGAAGTCAGAACAATCCCCAGCCACCCCACATGCCCCCACCCCTCCAAAAAAAAGCATAAAAAGAATATAAGGGGCAAAAGAACACTCATGAAATCTTAAAGACTGTAACAAGCTTCATCACTCCATTGGCAAACAATAGTCTCTTAGTTTTTTTTAGTTTTTTTTTATAGGAAGAACAGTCTTTTAGTCATCAAATGCCCTTGAAGTAGACATCTATGTAACTTGTGTTATTCCACATACACGTGCACCAAACCATCATATTCTACATATTAAAATTTATTTGACGCAAGTGTTTTATAGAAACATAGTGGCATAGAAATAAATAGAATCCCCTTCTTTATCAGATAGATTCATAGTTTAGTAGGGGCATCGTGCTACATTATAGGTTTCATTTCGTTCCCATATGCACGTTGGGCTAACAGTCCAACAACACATCCACTTCCATGATTGGAATGTATAACCACTTATTTATGCATTCATATCTGCATAAGAGATGTTTGTCTCTGAATTTCCATATGCAGGTTTCAGGTTTTGAAGCACACTCAACTTTTCTTTAATTTGAAAAACCAGGCAAATATGCACAAGTTGATTTCAACATTTACTGTCAAAAAATGTAAAAAGAAAAAATAGAGAAGTCACTAATACCTTATAAATACAAAGAAACACTTAAGAGCGCACACTTTCTCATTTCTTGAAGATAAATATGTTTTTTTATCAATAACAAAACTTTCATTAATCAATCAGAATAATTAATTATACAAAGGGGGAGATAAACTCTCTTAACTCCCCAGCAGAGGCATGAACCCCCACAAAGGGAAAACGAATTAGCAGATCTCTTCACCCAACTGAACTTTGTTTCCATGTCCTTAACCAGCCATCTGAATTTTCTCCTTTCGTTGTTGTAGTTCCATAATCCAAGCCTTCTAATGTTTATATCCTTTGCTCTTTGGGCACCTATCAAGGCTGCAAAGATCTCAGCCCTGAGAGTCACTGCTCCTGATTGGGCCTGAGAACAGAACTAAAACAGTCCCATTCTCATCCCTAAATCCACCCCCTATGCCTGACTGCCCAGGATTCCCTCTACTACTACCATCGAAGTTCAGCTTTATAAATCCAGTGGGGGGAGGGGTCCAAGACATACTTAGACCCGTTTTGACCTGGGCACTGCTAGCAATCTCTCTCCAATTCCTTGGCAAATCATCCACATTAAAATCTGTGAATAGGTCTGATGATTTCAGCCACTGAACTACCCTGATGTGAATCAGCTCTATCAAGGTAAATATGTTCACTAAAATCAAAAAAAAAGGTAAATATGTTCACTAATTGTTCCTATAACATTCCCTCGCTATAACAATGAGTTAATTCTTTAATATCTCAATTTATAATCCTAGACTTGAACTAACTAGTTATTACCATTTGCTGTATTCCAACACTGTATTCTCCCTAGATAATTCATAACTAGTTTACTGAATGACACCTTATTCATCTTCTGAAGTCACAGGACCTTGAGCTTTAGTAAGATTCACTATACTTATCAGTTATCACATTTAAATGTAATATAATACCAAAGACTCTGGATGGTTCAATCATATGCAAAAGTGCAATCAGCGGCATGTACTTGCTAAAATCTAATAAACAACAGAATTTTCCAACCATTCTCTTTTTCTTTTTTTCTAATTATAAGAAATCTGATCAACATATATAAACAAGTACACCAAAAACATTATAATAGAAGAGTGAAAAAAGATATATTTTTAGTCAACATGCAGTCTGCATGCAGGAGTTAATAAAACCATTCCCCACGGGCCCCAATACATGCCAGTGGGAAACATGTTCATCAATGTGAGCAGTTAACAGAATCATCTGAAATGATGAATAGGAGTGGCAACGAGCCGAGCTTTTCATGAGCTGTTTGAGCTCGGCTCAGCTCGGTTTCAACCAAGCTCGAGCCCAATTCACTGGCTCGATTATTAAACGAGCCGAGCTCGAGCTCGTCTCGTGAGGCTCGCGAACTGGACCAAATATATATATATATATATTTGATATTTAATATATATAATAAAAATATTATAATTATTAATTATTATTTTTTTAAATATCAAATAAAAAATACTTTTATATATAATTTTTTATTTTTATAAAATATTTTTTCTCAAAATCGAGCTCGAGCCAAGCCGAGCTTGAGCTTATGAATTTTTTACTCGAGCCGAACTCGAGCTCAAGGTTTTGGCTCGAACCGAGCTCGAGATTATATATATTTGATATTTAATATATATAATAAAATATTATAATTATTAATTATTATAATTCTTAATTTTTTAAATATCAAATAAAAAATATTTTTATATATAATTTTTTTATAAAATATTTTTTCTCAAAATCGAGCTCGAGCTTATGAATTTTTGACTCGAGCCGAGCTCGAGCTCAAGGTTTTGGCTCGAACCGAGCTCGAGCCTGGTAGTATTCGGCTCGGCTCGGCTGGGCATATGTACCATGTGACAGAAACTTCCAACAACTAAAATCTATAGTCAATCACAAATGTATGGGCATGCCATGTCTTTCAGTAAGAAGCACTATAAATGTGCAAGTTCACAGAAGACATGTACAAGTACAACAAAACTGGCACATATTGTGTCGTGACCTGCATTGCTTTTTTTCTTGTTTTCTCTTTTTTTTCCTTTTGAAAAGATGCTAAATGACTTGTATGCATAAAATATATACACATGTATGCATTTCTAGTTAAAGTTCCATTTAGACTACAAAGTTGCAAAGGTCACCTTCCCGCTGCTTCCTTTCTAATCTTTCTTTTTCCTGCTGCATTTTGATTGGATCACCTTTCTCACCCTGAATGGTTAGACATGTAAGCACATTTTTGGAAACAAGCCATAAAACAGCCTTCCAATTTACTATATCCAATGGTAAGAAAAATACTTACATGGTTTAGGAGTGTCTTCTGTTGTGCTTTCAGAATGGTGTCAGCAAAGCGGCTCTTTAGCATTGCAGCACGGAGGGCCTTGTTTGGTGACAACTGTCCATCATAAACAGAATCCTCCCATCCTAAACCACAAGGGGATAAAAATAAGATTCTGGAAATTGTCAGATAAAATAACTGAATAAAATAACGTTAGAAGAATATGAGTAGACAAGTTAACTTTCTCCAGGAGCAGCAACAATGGCAGGAGTTGCAGGACGAGAACTAGGTCGACCATTTTCTTCATCCACAATACTTACAGCACCTATCAATAATATAAAATGTAATATTTATCAGTTCGCAAATAAAGGAAATGAAAAAAACGCTTTGTTCCTGACATTACTAAAACCTTTCTCACCATCAGAATCAGGGTCTGACTTGCTCATCCGTGCCTTTTCTGTGTCATTTTCAAGATGACCCTAGATTCAAGCACAATGCTTCAATCACAGTTTCCATAGAATGCAATGTTTTTGTTCACAGAGCTCAACTGACAATTTTCATGAGAGTTAACAAAATGCAATCATATATACCAGGTTTGATACACCATCATTGTATGCATGATTGTTTCTGCCCGATGATCTTTCTGAGTCAAGGTCTGTAGCACAAGATTAAATGTAATATTGTGTATTACTACATGTTCAATGGCAAATAAATCTATTATATGCTTAATAATAAAAATCCAATAAAGAAATATTGCAGTAAGAGAAGACAGGAAAGACCAACTAACCACTCGAGGAAGCTTGGGTGAAATCATTGTGATGGCTGCATTGGGAAGTAATGCTGTTACATGAACCATTTATGCAGGCTCCAGGACTCACACGTGGCTTGGCACCAGCAGAGACAGATAGAGGTCTATTACTATTGCTAGTACCTGTGTGACATATTGACAATTAACTCTTGTACGAGCCATAAGGCAGAAAATGTCGACATTTTTTTGAAACCGTAATGTCAATGTTACTCTGCCACTTCATACCTTTTTGAAATTCGTTCTGTAAGGACTCGTGACCAGAAGTATTAGTTGTCTCAGCAGCCTGCACATGCAATGCAAATAATTAGAAAATAGCACAATTCAAAAAGAAACAGCATTGGCAGAAAAAAAAAAAAAAGTATTCAATAATCAAGCAAAAGAAAAGGATGTAAAATAAGCACTAACACGTAATCTATTTGGATCTGCAGATTTTGCATCAAGGTAATTCCTTATGAGTCTCTGCACCTCCAATGCTGTCTCATCATCAAATGCATCAATATCCACTTCAATTCTTTCTTCAGCCTGGCCAACCAAACCCAATTTCTGAAAGAAATGAAGCAAGGGAAGTGGAAGTTTTCCCTTTGATATTTCCACTAGATCCTTTCTCAGTTTCTGCTTATCCACAGATGACATTGACTTCCTGGGCAATGAACTTACATGGGAGGTAGGTGCTTTTTTAGAGCTTATCTTATTCTGAGCTTTCTTTTTCACCTCACTGGAAATTGACTGCTGCCCAACCTTTGTGCTTTCCCCACCCCATTTCACTTCTAGTGATTTCCATCTCATGTCAAAGATCCTATTTAATTCCTTGGCCATCTTATGCACATCATTTGTAGGAGGATTATAAAGCATGGCATTGGAAAATGTTAGCCTCACATCTGCCGTAAACTCTTCAGCACAAGAGTACAGCTTTTTCTGCAGTTTAGACTTTATTGTGCCCAAGTCCATGGGTTCAGATATTATTGAGAAATAATCCGGAATATTTAATGCTACAGGATCAACTGGCTGGTTAAAAACCCAACCAACCGGATGATTCATAAGCTTCTTCAGCAGGGCCATACATTGTTGCACCATACCTGTGTCCATTCTCTGCTTTTTTACCAATTGAACCTCCAATCTGTTAGGAGGTCCCCGCTTACTAGCACAAAGGACACCAGATTCCACTTTAGATTTGTCAGCAACACCCATTTCTACATAAACAGAATGACAATTGGTACTTTTTTGCACTTTGCTCATCTCCGTGCTTCTCTGCTCTTTACCAGAAGTAGTTCTACCACTTTCACCAATTAAAGAACCCTGCTGATTAAACTCACATGATCTTTTTTCAAACTCTACTCCAATTCTTTCTGTTGCAGACCTAACACAAGCAAGTTCAAGCTTCAACTTCTTCTTCAGTGCCAGCTTTTCAGCAGCAACCATGGTTGATAGCTGAAAGGATTGATAAGGGGCACTGTCTAGATTTATAAACTGACTTTCAGTGACCATGACCATGAACCTCTTCAAATTTACAAAGTAAGGAGCACTAGAAAAGCTCAGTGAAGAAGTAACTTTGATTTTTCACCAACACCAAAGAACAGCCAAAGCAATAGAACTTCTGAACAAGGTGGTGCACAAGAACCTGCATGATATTTTCTTGCTGGTAAGCACCACAAGCAAGAAGTAATATAATACATGTTTCCCTACAATAAAATAAGTAAATAAGAGAAAGAGAGGAAAAACAACATGAAAATTTGAATTTTAGGGTAAGCACCCTGGAATGCAAGAAGTTTCAACACCTCAACCCAATGACCAACTACTTCAGTTGGTTAACAGTATCAAAATTTAGTATAGGGCACTAGTACCCAAAGGGAATTTTGGCATTTGAGTTTTTGTTTAGACCCTCAGAGTAGGAGAAACAAAATAGCCCATTAGTTTCCACAGGCAAGCCTCCAATGCCATTACCATCTTTTTTTTGATAGATTCCAATTCCATTACCATCAGACTTTAGGATGCATATTTCAGACATTCCACAGCAAAGAAGAGGCATTGTTACCCTCTCTAAGATTTGTAAAGAAAATAAAATTCCAGGATATATGGGGAAAAGGAAACGAAGTTCATTATTGACTTTTCTTTCAAAAAGAAGGGAAAACATGTCACCAACACACTGTATTTAACCGTCATTTTCAGCAACATATTTGAATAGCAAAATGTAAAATCCAAGGATAATTTTGGTAATTGTTCTTTTTTTTTTTGAAATGCGATTTGTATTAAAAGAGGTGATATTTATAATTATTCATAATAATAAGCATTTCTTATTTGGATTTGGCAAATAATATTGTACAAACCATAGAAGTTTTTGTAGGAATTTCATAGAAAGTATACTGATAACAGGACTTTTGATTAAATCTTGACAAATATAAATTGGACTAACCACTCATACACTAAACCTTAGACCTCTTCAATGTAGGAATGCAAACAGATCAGATTGAATCAGATATACCTAGATCCAAATTTGATTCATTAATACTCAAAACTGAAATCAATTTTTATTCTTTGAATTTATATAAAATTCAGATGCAATGAAGTATTGAATAGAATTAATAAATTATACTAAAAGGATAAAAAATTATATGTTATTAATAAAATGAACTAAAAATGACTTTGATATTGTATATCATAAACAAAACAAATTGAAAATTACTTGTTCGAAACTTGAACCTATGACTCTAGTAAAAATAAAACATTAAAACCAGTTTTACTAATATATACAATATAATTTTAAATATACATAAGCATATGTTTAAATCGGATCATATCAGATCTAATAGAGTTGGTCCATATCTGATCCAATTTTAAGCAAGTCAAATTCAGAAGATCAAATTTGAATTCAAATTCAGACAACAGGATACCATTTGCAGCCTACCCCATATAGTTGGGATAAGACATGGATGATGATGATGGTGATGGTGAGGATACCATTTGCATCCCTACTTCAATGGCTATAAGTTTTTAATGAGCAGAGAAGCTGGACTCTCAAGTGACAATTGGCTCAATGATTGGCACCCTTGTTGAAATGTCACATCAGAAGCCCTGGCCTTAAGTCATTTAGTTACTTCCTTAGGTCAGCTAACTCTGTGAAGGACAACTTTGCTTGACATTGAGATCAGAACAACTGAGTTATATCGGGAATTCGGGATTCATCCATCTCAGAGTGAGAATCTGTTTGTTTCCTTTTTTCTGTTGTAATTTGTAATTCCTTTGCTTTGTTTCAGGGCCCACTGGTTGCCTTCTAATCATGAGTTGCCCAATGGTAAGAAGTTCAAGGTGTTTCAAACACAATACCGACACCTTGAACCATGCAAGCTATCATAGCAAAATACAATTTCTTTCCTTCCAGATATTACATTGAGAACAAAATCTTGTAACAATTGTTTGTATTTCTTGCTTCTATTATATTAGAAATTTGAAGATGCTATACAAAGAATTCCAATCTTAATGACTTCATTTTTCATGATTCCTTTGATAAAAATAGAACTCAAAATTCTCAAGCTCCATTACTCTCCAAGAAGTCCAAAATATTCTACGATGTCACTGAACTCATGCATTAGCTAACATTCAGCCAGCATAACAAAGCAGAGTAATGTGGCCATGTAATGCAACTTCTGAAGATGTCAGCATATAAAGATAAAATCCATTTGAATTTACAGGTATCGTTCTAAAGACTCAAGAAGTATGCAGCCACTGTAATTCAGTAGTTCATCTGAGACAAGGTCATCCATTCCATCTATTTCATCTAATTCAAAGAACAAAGAAGCCACTCAATCTGAATTTTTCTCTGTCGTTTTTCCTTTTAAGTCTAACTGAGAGAAGTTCTACTGGGTTAACCAATTCACAAGGAAGAACAGCCATATCTCAATGCTCTATCTTTAAAACACTTTAGGTCAGAGAGATTTATCCCATGGACTGATTCAACCATATCCCATGCATTTTTCTGTTATTACTGGTAAAAACTGTACAGTGACATCTCATTAGTTGATAGGTTCATTCAATTCTGCTTGCAAATCTTATGTTTACCCCAAAATTTACCAAAAACCGTATCATTAATAAATAACATACACGTTATCTCTGATTCTGATATGCCAACAACTGGTTCCCCAAACTAACACCATTCATTTGCTCATCCCCGGAGAGCTTGGGACACTCAACAAGACCCAGTAAAAAGCAATACTAGTTCAATGAATGGGCCAAAAGTAAAATGTTATAAGTAGAACCGAGGTGGTATAACACAATTAACAAGTTCTTTGAAAAAGCCCTATTCCCTCCCTATACAATGAGTAAAGTAACCCGATAATACAAACTGCGTGACCACAGAAAAGGGAGTTCTTTCCCTAAAAAAAATGCAATTCCGGTATTAAACTAGTTTCAAGGAGATGATATTGAAGATGCTCAAAATCGAGTCAATGATGTGGACGACAAGGGGGGGGGGACCCAAAAGCAAGAATAATCAATTTACCCCCAAAAAACAAAAACACAAAAGAAGAAGCATCAAAAGGACAAATTAAAACAAGAAACGACGTTGATTGCTAACCTAAAGTAACCGAAACCAAACCAATAACAACCGTTACACGAAACAAATCGAATTCAAATCTTGTTTCATCAAGAATAACAGAATAGAATGGGAAAAGAAAAGAAAAGGAAAAAAGACGAAACAAACGAAAAGACAAAACTCTTAGTGGGGTTCTCAAAAACTAGGGTTTTAGAGGGTCTAAGGGATTAAAATCGGAAGAAGAGCTTACGCATATAAATCGACGCGGTGGCGAGGGGATTGGAAGAAGACCTCTCGGTATCTGATTGATCGACAAAACACAAACTCCTCCCCTTTCCACGAAGAAGAAGAAGAAAAGAAGATAGGCAAAGGAGAACAGAGAAAGGGGCTTGCCCCTCCTCGTTCCTCGCTTCCGCTCTCGGCTTTCTCACCAGTGGAAGTGAACTGTCGTAGTAGTAGTAGTACTAGTTTAGCGCTACTAACTAGGGTTTTATGATTTATCTTTCTTTTTTTTTCCTACAAATTATTTCTCTGTTTTTTTCTCTATTTCTTTTGGTTTTTTAATTTGGGGTTTTTCCTGTTTCGATTGCGTCTCCACTGAGACTACTATATACTCTAGTCTAGCTTGAGTCTAGTTGGGGAGTACGGATTTCGGAAGCATTTCGCCTTTCGCGCATGTGGAAAAATCGAAAGAAGCGAGACCCGCGAGCGCTAGCTTTATATAGACAGACTGATCGGAGAGAGAGAATAAAGATGATTGGACGTGTGGGCCGGGCTCGGACGACTTTTTTTTGAGTGGGCCGAGCCCGAAACTGTGTAAAGTCGGACCCGAAGCCCGGCCCGCGAACAAATCTTTACTTGTGCAACATAGAGCGGTACAAGTCAGCACAGAAGGTTGTTTGGATACGTGTTCTCCTTCTACTGGTTGTACTTGGTGTTCGCATCAGCGCCCAACGACCGGCGCCCCACAAACTCCCCACACCATCAAATAAAGGACATCTGTCTCCCGGACAAGCTCTATTTCTAACGCGTGCGGACCCAAATTTCACCCAAAAAAGTGAAAAAAACAAAACCAAAACCCTTATTCCCGCTCAGCCCCCTCTCTCTCTCTCTCTCTCTCTATTCGACTTCGGAGGACCCTTGTTCAGCGTCCTTCCGTCTCCGCTTCCTTCTCCGGCGCCGGCGTTCATTCCGACATCACCGGCGACTACCGGCACCATTGAACAGATGCTGGTTTTCTTCTTCTTACCTCCATTCGTTTTTTTTATATTTTCCTGAACCTATTATAATGTTCTGTATTGTACATCACTAGCGAACATGAAGGTTTTTTTGCTTCTTCCCTCTAGCATGGGCAAGAAGCCTCTCAAACATTACGAACAGAACATATAGTCCAAATGCAAGTGCAGGGATCTGTTATTATTGTCCTTTTTATTTATCTGGTATGGTGCCACTTCTTTATGGAGATCCAATGGATTCTCCCTCACTCAGAGAACGTGCCTATTCTCTAGCAAAGGAAAATTCATATGGAAGAAGCTGAATTTTTGCCATCTGTTGGATAGTTTGGAAGAAGCTGAATTTTTTAGGTTAATTCTGCACCGGTAAAGGTGATCATAAGCAATGTGAAATCGACTCTGAATAGATAGGCTGCCAATTCAAGACTTTCTCTGTGGGAACTCTGATTAGCCATTTCAGCGATCATTCGACTTTCCTTATTTTTTATTTCAAAACATAGGAACTTTACCTTCGAACGGTATGATCGCCAGAACGAATGCCGGCACCGGAGAAGGAAGTGAAGATGGAAGGACAGTGAACAGGGTACTCCAAAGTTGAATCGAGAGAAAGGGTCGAGCGGGAATTAGGTGCTGATTCGCCTGGCGTTGATTACTTTGAATGGTGTGATCATTGAAACGAACGCCTACGCCGAAGAAGGAAGTGGAGAGGGAATGACGTTTAACAGGAGTACTCGAAGACTCGAAGTCGAATCGAAAGAGAGGGCCGGAATGGGGCGTTTGGGTTTTTTCACTGGTTTGGGTGAAAGTTGAGTCCGCACGCATTAAGAAGGAGCTCGTGCGGGAGGTGTTCCCGTTTGATTGTGTGGGGCGTTTGTGGGCGCCCCGGATGTGGGGCGCTGATGTGAACTCTTGGATTTGCAGTTTAGTTCGCAACTCGTATAGTATGTGTTTGGTTCCTTTAAATTTATTAAGTAAACGTTTTGTATTTGTATAGCTTCAAAATCGAGAAAAGCAATACATCAGTAAAGGTGTCAATAAACGCCCACCCGTTGGGAGAAACTCCAAAATGAAACTTCTTGAAATGGAAAAAGTGCACAGATTTGCAAGCATCGATTACGTAAGGATGTGCATAATGAGGCATTTGCTAATGGGGCGCCTATGTGGCAGCGTTTACTCAATAAACGTATACATAACCAAACACCCTCATAATTTATTTCAATGAGGAATGTGTAAACATCGGTATTGTAAAACTCTTACAAAACTTCGCATCACGGACATTTCATTTTTTGGATTTTGAGAAAGTTGGTCTACGATTTTGATTCTTATTGACCAAGAAATTCATGTTCTTTTTTCATATTTATGGGGAGATTAGGGAAATTTTATTTTTATCCATCTTTTAGTGGGTAAATAACTTTCCCACATGCGGGGAAGTTGTCAACACTTGAATGGGTCAAAAATGCCCCTCCCCCCTTTTAATATTGGATTTGTATGGCTAAAATGATCATTGCCTTATTTATATGGGAAATAAAAAAACATAGGTAAATACACTTACCCTAGTAAGTCTTTCCTACAAAACATTTACCCAAGCATTTACCAGGATAATTAATTTACCGAAAAGTGAACAGAACCATAAGGTGAGAATATTTTTATATTATTTTGAGGAGAGGTAGCAATTAGCATTTAGCAAACCACCTCTTTATGCAATTCTTTGTTTAATTCTGCAAGATCTTGTTCAGTACAGATGGGGCTCATAGGTAGCATAGCCCACTGTGTACTATTTTGTCTCCATTTCGAATTAGGATCTGCTCCTTATACAGTGTGTTTCACACCCACTGCACAGCCACATCCCACCCTGTATTGGGAACATCTCTCCATGAATAATAAATACAAATAAGGGAGAGGTTCCCGATTTGCGGCCAAGACAAGTTATGAGGTCATCGTGAGTAGACCTGTTCATGGGCCGGGCTGGGCCGGGCTTTTAGTGTGTATTAACAAATTTTTTTAAGGCCCGAGCCCGAGCCCGGCCCTCATAAAAAGCCCGAAGCCCGAGCCTGGGCCCGGGCCCAAAATTTAGCCTATATTATTATTATTATTAATGTTGAAGCAGCTGAATAAAGAGAGATAGATTGAAATTATAAAGAAAAGAATAATATATATATATATATATTAAATTATAAATATATATATTTTAATAAATATTATATTATTTATATATTTTATATAATATATAAAATACATATTATATATTTTATAAAATATATAATAC